TGTTTCCGGATTTCGTTAATTTCGGAGTACTTTCGCCGTTCTTATCCGCACTATCACTACTTTCCGCCATGTTTTTGTTTAAACTTTTGTTTTCCTGTATGGAAAATTATCCGTGCCTGCTGTTTGAAATTTCTAGTTCGCGCGACTGTCACTCAGGTGGCAGCACCAGACGAGCTTTAATTTAATTTATTTTAAATCCTTTTTAATTTGTTAATTAGATCAAAATAAAGAAAAAAGGAAAATAAAACACGTAAAATACTTAAAAAACAACTTATTAAGGTTTATTAATCTGATAATAATACATTAAAAATATGGTATTCTTGCAGATTAAAAGACCCATGTTAGAAATTCCTGAAACAAAATAAAATAACGTTAAAAACAATTACATTCCTTCACTATAATCTACAACTAAATACACTAAACATATACATTACATAAAACAAAGATAAATAGATACAAAAAAACGTACTTAGCAATAATTCCATCCTTCTTCGTTAACCTGACAATACAGTCATCGGACTCTCCCATACGACGAATAGCCCCACATAGAGCGTAACTTTTGGTTGTATCAGTCATCCTGCCTGTAGCTGGGTCAACTTCAGCAATGCTGATTTGGATGGAAGCATGGTCTTTAGCGTGGATAATTCTGTTTGATGCAGAGCTAAAAATGATTTGTTTACAGCACTTATTCAACTAGTAGCGTGTCTAGTCTTTTAATAACGACTTTAGGAACAAAATCTTGTGTAAAATATACTCGTTTTGCGTTAAAAATGAAATAAAACACGTGTGTGTAAGGTTAGAATTACGTACCATTTTCTGGGACAGTACAAGTCAACGAATTCACCAGCGTCGTTTTCCATATTGAAAGATCTGAAAAAATAATTAAAATTAGCTTGATTTTCATTGATTAAACAACAGAAAACTTACGTTTTTAAGCTTTAAAAACACGAGGATGTTGATGAATTTTACAAACGTCAAAAAAGAAAGATTTTTGACTTTTGACAGGTAAATCGATACCGGAGTGTATGTTTAGTTGCATAACTTTTGACTTGCCGCTCGAAAAATTTATAATTCAAAAAAGCAAACATGGTGAGGAAGCTTTTTGATGTAAAAAATGAAACGCCTGTTTATTTTGATAATATTTCGGCATTGGGAAAGTGTTGGAGTAGATGAAAAGCGTGGATTTGCGTGGGTGAAAGGCGGAAAAGCGTAGTTGCGCAGGAATCGCGCAACAATTTATTTAAAAGGTTTTCTGGGAGAGCGTAAAATAACAAATGAGACCTCGATATCGAACCACTTTCAAGCGAATGCCGCATCTCGCAGTTCGTAACATTTTCGCTATTAGTTCACCTCTATTTGTTACCTGTATGATACGCGCTACACGTCACGAAATTGAACATTTTGATCGCGATACCCACGATTTTTTTATGAAAAATGAGGTAAAGTGTTGTGGGGGTGGTGAATTATAAAATAAATTATATAGAGGATGCGCGGATTTTGAATGTAGGTCAGGCAAAATGTCTTTAAAGGTAAGAGGACCTTTTTTTGTATTATATTATGAGTGAAATGCAGTCATGGAATATTATGTAAATTAGTTTTTTAGAAAAAATAATAATAGACTTTGAAATATATTTATTTTTTCAATATAATTTTAAAATCACGTGAAAAATATAACAACATTTATTACGATGCTACAGTATATTATTAGGAGATGCTAAATAACAATAATAAACTTGTTTAAACAACATTATTATTTATTTACTCAAAGATATTTTTCGTCAAAGTGTTGTTAATTTTTGAGAACGATCTTTAATATAATAGAAAAAGTTGGTAATTGATGCTTAATTCTATTAACGATAATACCTACCTATTTTTTCATTTTGTTATTCAATTAATTGAATTTTCAATTAAAAATAATAGTGTATGTTTAAGTTCAACGAGAATTTTCTATTTTTAAATGCCTCGGGTTCAGTGAATGTAGCATTGAAATTAATTTAAAATCGAATAATATACAGTGTGTTTATAAATGTGTTTATTTTTTTAAAGTTTGATGCCCCTTAGCGGACAAACGAAGCACTTTTGTATACCTAGAGGTAAATCCCAAAAATACGTGGCAGTTCTATGTCCGCAGAATATTATTGACACCCTGTATTTTGCAATGAATTATTTTATGTAAGGAAAATATACAGAATGGATATATCTTTTCATTTTTGTATTATTTCAATTGAAAAAAAATAGTTCCAGCTAAAATCATAAACTACAGTATAATTAGAAATGGTTGAATATGCTGGAAATGATAATGGCTAAACTATGACAATATTTTTTTCGAAATTTGGATATACTTCGGATAGTCTAATAAAAAGATTCTGAAAAATAGATTTTTAAAAAAAATATTTTATAGATTTTTATTAATATACAGGGTGGTGCACCTCATTCGCCTCGGTTGATTATACCAAAACTGAAAGATCTATAAACAAAATATTTTATGGGTATATGTTGGATGTATACCATGATAGTGAGACCCATGATTACTTATGGAGCAGTTGCCTGGTACACAAATCTAGAGCAACGGACGGCAAGGCTAAACCTGTGCAAAGTCCAGAGACTAGCATGCGTTTGCATCATAGGAGCCATGAGAACCTGTCCAACAGCAGCAATGGAAGTCATTCTAGATCTAACACCACTGCACATTGTCATTGGTAGATATGCCAATGCGACAATGATTAGAATGGTCACTAACGGAATTAGTACTGGGAGAATTGTCAGATCAGGGGCTTGGAACACCCTCAAAAAGGAAATACTACTCCTGCAACTCCCAGTGGACGATATGCCAAGAACGTACAACTTTGACAAACATGTCAATGTAGTATTGAGCAATAAGAAGGATTGGAAGAGCGAAACGCTTGCCCAGCAGTTAAAAGACCATACCGACCATACCATAACTTGATATACTGATGCTTCCAAAACCAATACGGGAACAGGGATCGGAGTATTTGGGTCGAGAACTAAATATTCCGAACCAATGGGCACTTACCCTAGTATCCTACAGGCAGAAATCTACGCTATCAAAAGATGCGTACAACTTATCTTAGATAGGAACTATCGGAAACAAGAAATAGCCATCTTATCTGATAGTCAAGCAGCGTTAAAAGCGATCAACTCAGTCTCAATCAATTCGAAATTGCTCAAAGAATGCATAGAGAAGCTGAATAAATTAGGCAAAGAAAACAAAGTCCTCCTACACTGGGTGCCTGCTCACCAAGGGATAGAAGGCAATGAAAAAGCAAATAATCTAGCTAGGAAAGGAGCGAACACTCCACTAACTGGACCAGAACCGTTCTGCTTTCCAAGTGGTAACCAACTCAAGGCGGAACTCAAGGACTTGGAAGATTCCATCCGCTACCTGGAATGGAAATCTTGCAATGGTCTAAGACACTCGAAGAAGTTTCTGAGGGCTTATGATCAAGAAAAATCACAGATCTTCCTGGGTCTGAGTAAGAACAATCTTCGGATTGTCACGGGGTTTTTAACAGGACACTGGCTACTCAATGAATACCTCAATGGATTGAAGCTAATGGTGCGTATCCAAACAGCGAATGCAGATTCTGTGGGGAAGATGGGGAAACACCAGTACACCTCATCACTGAGTGCGCCGAGACGACAACCATTCGTGCCATGAATTTTGGTACGACTGATATTGGAGATGGAGAACTACCCTCTATAAAACCGTCCCAGATACTGGCTTTTGTCAAAGCCCTGGGCCTGTATGATGAGTTATGATTCAAGAAAGGGGGACACAATGGATCTGTAAGGTCGAAGTGATTAACCCCCCTCCCACTCATTCTAAATTCTAAATTCTAAATGGGTATATGTGGGGAGGCAATGTGCACAATTTAAAATTATTTTGAAATATACAGGGTGTTTCAGAACTAAGATCCATACCAAAGTTATATTTTTTCTTATGGAACACCCGGTGTTTTGTTTCATTTTTGGATTCCTCGGCCCAAAAAAAAGGCATTTATTATAAGGGTTAAATATGTTTAAAGTCTTTGGTTTTTGAGATATTTAAAGATATTTAAATTTGCACGCTACTGTAGAATAGATTATTAACACCCTGTACATTACTTTTAAGAATTAATTCTTGTGCTGAATTTAAAGGTAGAGAAATAAACTTTTTGCTTCATTAATTTTATACAGGGGTATCAAAAATTGCTGATTGCTGAAATGATCTATTTTAAGGATTTATTTTATATAAAAACTTCGTTATTTCAAATGCAACACCCTGTATTTTTTAAAACAAACCGAAGCAGATTCAAATGCTCTTTCAAATTGTCACCCTGTATACACAAAGAAAAAGTTAAAAATACATTAAAATGTTGAGCTTCAGCATTACAAACACTAAGTTAAGCATAAGTATTATTCTTTTTAAAACTTTTTGTTCTGCAATTTTAAAAATAATCAAACAAAATTACGGTTTCCCGAAATAACAACGGCAAAAACCTGAAAAGAGTGCCGTTATTCTGAAAACCTCGTTTTCAGCAGTTAAAAACGACAATTACTAGAAAAAATAAACACAACAAAATGAGATAAAAACGTATCTTTGAAAGATCTTTCGACTTTAAGCAAGCAATTAGAGCATAACGAAACCACTTGACCGTTAAAAAGAATGTCTAAAATCGTGTCTAAAATAAACACAGAAAGAGAAAATACGACTTTTATATACCGGATGTCTTCATTTTTACGACCACCAGTATAGAGAAAAAGCAGCGTTATTAGTAACTAATAAATAATTAACTTGCTTTCATATTTAATTTTGTACAAATCTTATTTTCCATCAGCAGATTGTGACCCAAAATTGCCTTTATATACAGAGTGATTTATTTTTTTACTACTCCTAATTATTTATAAATTTATTTTAAAATGATTTTTTTTTGTTATTGATGATAACATATTACCTATATTATCTGTGTATTTATTTGACACTTTTTTTCGTATCTACGACAATATTGGACTTCCTCGCACTAATGGGACACCCAGTATAACGCAAACATTACTGATCTCCTATTATTAACTTTAGAATATACATTTCATAAATATAATAAAACATATTAATCTATATACTAATATATAAAATCCTGCTAAAAGTGACTAACATACTGATTAGTCACGATCCTGCTCAAACCACTCAACGTAAGAAGCTCAATTTTGGCATACAGGTTGGTTCTAGGGTGAAGAGGTTCGATAAGAAGGGATTTTTCGAAATTCCAGTCCCAAGAAGGTGAAACCATCCCTCAAATATTACAATATTTTTTATTTCAAAAACGGTCAAGTTTCCGAAAAAACGCTTAAACACGTATATTTTATTTTGTTTTCTTACATATTTTAAGATTTTTTAAAAATGTATACAGGGTGTTTCTAAAAATCTGGTCATTGATTAATTACGATCCTAGACGTAAAAAGCTGATTTTTGGAAAACAGATTGACTTTAGGGTGTAAAGGTTCGATAAGAAGGGATTTTTCTAAATTCGAATTCTAAGGGGGTGAAACTATCCCTCAAATATTAAAATATTTTTTATTTAAAAACCGGTGAGTTTTTCGGAAAAACTCTTAAATACGTATATTTAATTTTTACACATATTTTAAGATTTTTTATAAATTTATACAGGGTGTTTCATAAAATATGACCATTGAGTAATCACGATTCTGCTTTTAAACTGCTTGACGTTTAAAGCTGATTTTTGGCAAACGGATTGACTGTGGGGTGTAGAGGTTCGATAAGGAGGAGTTTTTCGAATATCAAATTCCAAGAGGGCGAAAACGCCCCTCAAATATTACAATATTTGTTATTTAAGAAATGGTTAGTCTTTCGGGAAAACGCTTGGACAAGCATAATTTATTTGGTTTTTTACATATTTTGAAAATTTTTAAAAATCATACAGGGTGTTCAAAAAGTAATTTCTTAACCACGATTCTGCTTAAACTGCTTGACGTAAAAAGCTTATTTCTGGTAAACGGATTTTCGAAAGTCAAATTCCAACGACATGAAACTACCCCTCAAATATTACCAAGTTATATAATAATATCGCCATATTGTTTTTTCTCATGCTGACATAAATGTAAGAAAAGTTTTATCCAGTTTGTATGTTAATGGAAATTCTTGCTTTGCTTTGTCATCACCATTATAAATGATTAATTGAACGCGAACGAAGTCGCTGGTACACGCTATATAGTTATTTATAATTTCCTTTTCAGAAAGAATCTCTATCAGATGCTCAGCTCCATCTAGCAGCTCTTAACGGAAACCTACCTCTACTTACCAGGATCTTGGATAGTGGAAAGGTCCATGTAGATTCCAGAGACAAAGTAAAAAAGACCAAAATATTTACCAATTCAATTTTTCTTTATTTTTTTCTTGTATAATTAGGATGGTACCACTCCTTTGATACTAGCAGCTGCTAATGGGCATTTTGATTGTATTAGGGAACTGTTAGATCAAGGTGCTGATCCAAACATCAAAAGAATTGTAGGTATAATTATTAGAATTAAATAGAAATTTTGAAACGAAAATAATTTTCTCTAAGACTCACTGAAGCAGTGATTGATTCAGTGAAACTGAAAGATGAGAACAAAGGCCTTAAAACTTTTGTCAATTTTTCAATTTTTTTAATAAGATAATGATTCTTTAATTAATTCAAATTTATTTGAATATGTTTATGTTAATTATTATGTCACTAATTTGGGCATTTTTTTAATATTTTCTTTATGGTTGACTATAAGCTCTATAATTTTTGACTGTGTTACATTATTTTTATTTGATCACAGAGTATACCGGGTGCGTCTCAAAAGTGTCTCACCCCTATAACTTTTTTATTTTGTCACTTAAAAAAACGAGATTTGGTATGTTGGTATATGACATAAATTAGGATTGATTGACGTATTCAACTGTTTTTGGTCACTTCCTGTTTCACCGGAAGTTACTACAACTTTTGATTTTTACATGGTACCCTCGGCATATTTTTACTTTATTCGATAGAAAATGAGACTCTGAATAGAATGACATATCGTATGTCAACTTTTGACATTTTCGCTTAAAAAATCGTATTTTAAGCTTGTTAAAAATACTAATTTTTGATCAAGGAGCCTTGGAAAAATAGATTTGATCGTTTAATGTTTTTCGTGTCTTGTCCTGACCGGTTAAAAGATGCCTAAATTGTATTTTTAATCATATCTCTATTTTCTATCGAATAAAGTAAAAAATACTTTCTGTTCCGGTGAAACAGGAAGTGACAGAAAACAATTGAATACGTCAACCGATCCTGATTTATGTCATATACTAACGTACCAAATCTCGTTTTTTTATCTGAAAAAATAAAAAAGTTATAAGGGTGAGCCACTTTTGAGACGCACCCTGTATATTATACAAAAATTCATATATGTTTTTCTTTTCTTATTATTTAGACGGGAACAACACCCTTATTTTTCGCTGCCCAAGGAGGATATCTGGACATAGTTCAATTCTTACTGGAAAATGGAGCTCAAGTACACACCACTAGTCAAGTAAGTAATATTTTCTAAATGCCCCTCGTAACAGAGTCATACTGTACGCGACATTTAACAGCCACCGACCTCATAGAATTAGAATTAGAATAAGTGGGAGGGGGGTTAATCTCTGCGACCTTAGAGATCTATTGTGTCCCCCTTTCTTGAGTTATAACTCATTATACAGTCCTAGGACTTCCTACGGAGACCCGTGTCCCTCACAGTCGAGGAGCTACGACCCAGGCCGGGTAGACGAAACGGTAGCTTGTGTCGCCTGTTGGGTTTAGAGGTAGGTAGGAAAATCCCGACCCTTGGAGGAGGTAGTAGCTTGTATGCCACTTGCGGAGGATGGTCTCACGCAAGTGTCAGCCACCTCTCCTGTAGTTCTCTTTGGGTTTGGCCCCTTGAAACTTTCATTGTTACTGTTCCCAGTGTCGCTAGGGGGTTTCCCCAGAGCTTCACCCGGTGATGTTTTTATTACTATTATTACCAGATCTCATAGTGTTCCTATGAGTCGCTAGGGACAGTCGGTCCACTTCTACAGAGCCCCGCATGTAGAAGTAGGGTAAAATACAATGGGGTGCCCCAAGGTTGGGCTGTCCGTAGCCCCGCCCGCTATCGTTATATGTCTTGGTGCAATTCCCTGGCCACGACTCTACAGTCAGGGACAAGACGATGAGTGAGATGCTTCTTAGACCAAGCCAAGTGCTAGAGGGATTCCCCCAGCACCTGACCAGGAGCTTCCCCACCAACGACAAGGTCTTGCATCTCCTAGGGGAAGACCGACCTCATAACATGATGTTGATTTAACTAAAAATGGTCAAGTCAACATGATTATCTACATACAATCAGTCTTCAAAGAGGAGTATATTGAACAAAGTATTGTTGCCATAAAGGGATCATCCTGTATATCGTTTCAGTAACATGAAAACAAAAACAAATATTAGAAATGCATTTTTATGTGAGACGGTCAAATGTAAAATGGCATTTTATCGTCGACCAAAAAGAATTAATTTCGGGAGACGATAATACAATTTTATCGTCGTGTATAAAACAATATTTTTTCCATAGCCAGTTGCGTTTTAAAAAATATTCAGAAATTATTATTTCAAGGAATTTATTTCGAGTAGAAAAAAATATTATGCTGGGTTGGCGTTGGTTTCTATGTAATTTGACAAATAAATAAAGCTGTCTCTTTAGTTGTCAGTTTTGAGTCAATATTTTTTAATTTTCTTTCGTGTCGATTGCTGATTGAATTGGAACCCGAAATGGCTCAAAACGAAATAAGTAAATTACCAACAGATATTCAGGCTGAGGCGACAAACGCCATATCCAAACTACTTCCATTTAAATCCCGAATAACTTATGAAGAGAAATACAAATTTTTTTAAAAATGGAAGCAATTAAAAAACATTGGAGAAAAAATAAAGTTTTTAACCTATCCTCGCTGTTAAAGTATCATTTAATCGACCCTTGCGGTTAAAGTACTATTTTATCTAGTATTTTTGATAGATATAAGGCAATTTTAACAGTTGTTATGGAAAAAATGTTATTTATTCCATAAACAATTTAAAAAAAAAATAAATTAAAATTCATGAAGCAATATCCATAGCAGTTTACTTCTAACGTTGATTAATTAGATTTAAAACTCATTTCTTTTTATATAACAATCCTTTTAAAACTGCATTATATTTAAATCCATCATAAACAGGTATTTTATGGATGAGAATAACCATAAATAATGAAAATTGTGATTAAATAAAGCGCTCATCAGTCTGAAAATGAGCGTGTGAAAGTCCTTTGGTACACGCGAATGCTTAACAATCAAAAGAATGTACAGGAAATGCTTTTTGCTTCGTGTTTAGCTATAGTTTGCCTGCAAAAACTTATGATACTTCTTTTTTTCTTACTTCCCCATCATAAAAGAACTTTTACGAGGGACTGATAATAAATACGATTTTTTTCTCAGTAAAAAATAGTGTTTAACGTCTCCTTTTTTGCTGCAAAGACTAATCTGGACAGGGCCTACTTTGTTTACACCGAGTTCGAACCGCTGTACTCGGCCATGTCATTGTCAATGGCCTACCGACTTGGCAATAAGTGTCTAAAATGCTCGAACCCGCGTGAATGAGCACTGTGTCAATAGATTTTACACTTTTGCCATGGAACAACAGCACGACAGAGTTTCCAGACGTTCACCAGTCCATCCACTCGAATCGTTTGACGTCGTTTAACTTTGATGATCTACGGGAACCGGTGTTTTGTGTTCTATGGTCTTCTCTAAAATCATATTTTAGATTTTTGTTAAAATAAACAATGCATACACTACAAAAAATATATTACGTCTGTTTTTACTGTTTCATTTTCTATTTTTGCTATAGTCTGTAAAACGAATAACTTTGAATTTGACAGTTTCCGCGGGCTTTTCTAATGTTAATTTTATTAAGTTAGCAACTTCCGGCTATGCTGACGCAGTGCCGTCTCTAATAGAACAGCCTCGGAGCGAGATTTATGATGTCACGCTAGTTAGATACTACGGATTAATAAATATGTTGTAGAATACATGGAAAACATAATTATTCCTCATATTTTTGGTTTGTATTTTAAAAATTATATAGTTTACATGAAATATACATAATATACAGTTAATAATGAATGGCTGAAATCGTACTCCATAGTCAATGTAGATAGTTTTTGTGTTAAGAATAATAATTTAAAAAAATATTTGGTCATCTTTTGACAAGTTTATATTAGTTTATTAATTGCAGTAAACATTATAATATATCAATAAATTTTGTGAATGCAAATAATAATACATCACTATTAGTAGATATTGAATGTTTTTTGTTAAATTAGATCGATTTTCAAACCCCAAATTTTAAAATATACTTTACATTTTACCCATTATCTTATGTACCACCTATTCATTATTTGTATATTGCTCCGTGGCTGTTCTATTAGAGACGGCATTGGTCTAATATTTAGAAATGTCAAAAGCTGATGACATTTTACTTTTGTCAATTATGACATTTCGTGTTGATTTTTGCAAGAAGAGGAAGAACTGTCACTTGTTTTATTATTTTCCTTTTCTATTTCACGAAAGTAAAAAGAGTTACCTATCTGAT